ACCCAGTTTCTTAGCGGCCACGGCTATTTTTTATCGTATCTTGAAAAAATGAGAAAGGTAACATCACCAGTATGCCTTTACTGCGAAGGTTATGACGACGCAGAACATACCTTTTTTTACATGCGAGAGGTGGAGCGTATACAGAAGGAATATCGAGGAAGAAATTGAAGAACAACTATCCCCTCATAACATCGTCCAAAAAATGCATCAAAGCCCTGAAAACTGGAACCGCATATCAAGGTATGTGGAAAAGATACTAAGGGAAAAGAAAAGCGACCTGGATAACCGCTGATACCATAAACAGAAGCGAGCCCGAGGGCGATAAAAAACGGACTAGTCTCGAAGTAATGTGCTAAACGGTCCCGAACTAGAGTCCAAGACGTAAAAGGAGGTGTTTTAGTCGGTATTTATTAAGAGAGCCCGACACTTCGTGCGTAAATTGCATTTCACCTCCTTACAAAAAAAAGATTGTGTTTTTCTCATCAAGGAGGCTGAATTCGACAATATATCAAGAGATAATTTTTAATTCGCATTAATCACAAATAACATAAACACAATTTTGATATCAAAAGAATAAAGTCAGTGGCACACATGTCTATTATTGAAAAGTATTCCAGTGATAACCCATACGCACGTCCCTGATAAATTTGTCGACACTTTTTAGCATTAAAATATGTAGAACTTAAGTATATGTAGTAACTTTTACCCTCAAATTTCATTCGAATCACTAAAAGTACTTGGAAGAAAATTATAATAAATCGAAAGATTATTAAAAGTTTCACACTCTGTAGCTAGGAAACAAAAAAAAAGAATCGGACCTATGTTGATATGAAAAATAAATTTTATTTTTATGTGAGGAATGTCACCACGAGAGATGGCACATGTTTTTTGAAACACCCTGTATACGAGTATAATAGTAAGTTTCAAAAAAAATGCTCAGGAGAAATAATAATACTAGGAAAGATATTTTTGGGTCTATAATATAAATTTACTCTCAATACGAACTTTTTTTCAGGTTCATAACCTTACAAATTAATATGTATGTACGTAAATAGAAAGGGAAATTCGCAAGACCGGTGAAATCTAATTTTCCGATATGAAAAAGATGAGAATAAAACAGAAATCGCATTTTCCACGTCAACTGTCAGCTGTCGATATACAAATTTTTTATCCAGCAGTACAGCAAAAGCGAGAAAAATTACTATTTTTTTATTTGGGCCTGTCGACGAGTTAACGGCGGATTAGGAAACCTTAATTTGACAGGTTCGACATCGAAAATGTTAGTGAAGCCTCACAAATACATCACAAACATTAAACTGGCTGATGCGGCACAACGGAGGGTAGTGCGGAGCAAGGGTAGATTTAAAAATCGCAAAAATCGCGTTCGAACAGGGCTGGATTACGTTGGATTATGTTAGAGAAATGTAAGTTTCTTCCAACAGTATAAAACTAGCTATCTCGTAAAAAGCAAACTAGAGTTGTACAGAGTGATTGAAACCTTTGTTCTGAAATTCTCTAAAAATAATTAACTGAAATATTTCTTTACAATTCATTAACACAATTAAAATATCCTGTTAGAAATCGTTTATGTCAGTGATTTGATTTTATCTAATTTTTGTAAAAAAGTTGGTGCCTATTATATTACATTTTTAAAAACTGACTATTTGCAAAAAAGGTTTCTGCATCTGATATGATTAAAAATTCGATAGTAAAAGAGCACTAAAAACTAGTAAAAACCACTAACAAAAAAGAAAAAATAACAAGACGAAACAACTCACAATTAAAAATACAAAAAAAAACAGGGCGCTTTTTGCTTTTTAGAGAATTTTTTTCTGATGTTTTTAATGGTCTTTTTTTCTTTAATGTTCATTAGTGGCTTTTACTTCTGTCTTTTTTGTGTTCTTTATTCTAGTAAGACATCAAATTCAGTTTTGAAATATATTTTATACTTCAATCTACTTTATGTAAAGGCATTTTTAAAGTAGTTAAAAGTCAGAAATGGTTAATATTGTGCCCGGACAGGTTGTCATACAATATGAATTTATTTATAATATAACATAATTTTTATATACCGGGTGTTTCTCAAAAATGGCTCGCCCCTATAACGTTTTTATCTTTTCAAATAAAATAACGAGGTTTGGTACGATAGTATATGACATAAATCAAGATTAATTGACGTATGTTTTCAGTCACTTCCTGTTTCACTGGAAACGACTATAACTTTTGATTCCCAAATGATACCCCAGGTATTTTTTTACTTCATTCAATATAAAATGCCACTCTGAATAGAATGATTTTCATATTATGTAAACTTTTTACATTTTCGCATAATATGGTTTATTTGAAGTTCTAACATGCGGTTCATAATGACAATTTGACTCGATACACTAAGTGTGTGGTATCAAATTATTCGTAAAAAATGTTTTTTTTTCCAAAAAACCACCCTCGTTCCATTTGAAAAAATTGAGAAATTTTTTCAAATGGACAAGACACGAAAAACATTAATCGATCAAATCTATTTTTCAAAGCTTTCTTGATTAAAAATTAGTGTTTTTAACACAGTCATGGCCCATGGCACTCTAGATTGAAATTTAAAATATGATTTTTAAGCGAAAATGTCAAAAGTTGATATGTGATATGTCATTCTATTCTGAGTGGCATTTTCTATCGAATAGAGTAAAAAACTACCAAGGGGGCTAATTAAAAATCAAAAGTTGTGGATCTGGTGAAACACGAAGTGACCGAAAGCAATTGAATACGTCAATCAATCCTAATTTATGTCATATACTAACATATCAAATTTCGTTTTTTATCTGAAAAAAAAGTTATGAGGTGAACCACTTTTGAGAAACACCCGGTATTTTAACATATAAATAGCAGTCACATATTTTTGGATCTATCTAAAGCCTTCATATTTTTTATAATGATATATCTAGCATATTGGAAAACAGGTTGGTTATTATTATTTAAAACTGTACAGGGTAGGTCAAATTCGACGCTTTTAAAGGGAACACCCTATTCTATAGGAGATAAACGAAAACTAATATCGGTGTCTGGAGCTCAATGTTCATCAAAAATATGATGGTAAAAACCGCACAACAATATCTGTTACCGTTTCGGAGTTACGGGGTGTTTTTCAAAAATGGGCATTTTTAACAAATCGCTGTAACTTTTTTGCTATGGAAAATGTTGTATTTCTATGAAAACATTTCCAAAGCACCTTTTTACGTAGAATTTAATGGTTTAAGTATAATTTTTTTTAAATTAATAATTTAAGAGTTATCAACAGAAAAATTTATTTTTTATTTGGGACACCCTCTATATTTTTAATTAACTGAAAAGAATTTAAAATTACCTTTCCCAAAACATAGCACACTTGATATTTTGTTATAGACCCCTTCGAAATACAGAATTTTTATAAGTTCGCCACTTTTAACTAGAAGGTTTTGGACCCCTTATTGATGATCTGCCCCTAATGGAACTCGAAAACATATTTTTCTAGCAAGACGAGGCACCGCCTCAGAACGCTTAAGTTATCAGCAAATTTCGAGTATATTTGAATAGCTAACCAAGATCCCAGCCATTGGCCGCCGAGGTCGCCGGAATTAGTGCCTGTTATCGTTAGTAGATTTTTATCTTAGAGGAAGAATAAAGGTTCTTATTTTTAAATTGCCCGTATAATCTAGACAAGAATTAGAAGTACTTAGTGGTTATGCAAGGGTATCTTTCACCCCTACTGAGTTAATGAATTCCGCGAGAAATGTTCAAAAATGGTCTCTGGAAAAATCTCATGTCTTGGTTTGCTATTTATTTTTATTGTCATTAGATACAATTTAAATGTGTGACGTTGATGCTGCTAAATATAGTTTAAATTCTTATAAAATTCTGATACTCTCATTGCATATATTATTTCCGTTCTAATTGCTGCTGACAGCTAGAATTTTTTAGCATTACAGCCGACGCCGTTCAAAGCCTACTTATTCAAAGTGGGTAAATTTTTAAAAACTCTATATCTCGAAGAGGAATCGAGCACAATATCAAGTATGCTATATTTCTGGAAAGGTAATTTAAATTCTTTTTAATGAAATAAAAATATACAGGGTGTTCCAATCGAGCACAATATCAAGTATGCTATATTTCTGGAAAGGTAATTTAAATTCTTTTTAATGAAATAAAAATATACAGGGTGTTCCATATAAAAAATAAAATTTTCTGTTGATAACTCTTCAATTATTAATTTTAAAAAAATTATACTTAAAACATTAAATTTTACGTAAAAAGGCGCTTTGGAAATGTTGTCACAAAAATACAAAATTTTCCATAGCGAAGAAGTTACAGCGATTTGTTAAAAATGCACATTTTTGAAAAACACCCCGTAACTCCGAAACAGTAACAGATATCGATGTGAGGTTTTCACCATCATGTTTTTAATTAAAAATGAGCTCCAGACACCGATATTATTTTTTGTCCTATAGAAAATTATCTCCTATAGAAAAGGGTATTTTCCTTTAAAAGCGACCAATTTGATCCACACTGTACATAAATTGAAATAATTCAGAAGACCATTTTAAACATATACTTTTTATTTTTAAAATTTAAATTAATTTATATCTTTTGGAGGGAAAACACCTATTTTTTAGGAATAAATAACTGAATATAAAATTCGAATATAATGAAAATTAAATTCTGCATTAAGTTAAAATATATTATCTATTGATAATATAATTCCCCATACACACATACTCGTACTCATTTGCATAAAATACTGGAGATATCTGGCGCAATAATCTATAACATCCGTAAAGTAGGTACCTATTTGTTAATCAAAGATATTATTCGAAATATTATGTAAACAAGTAATCCAAATTATTGAAATATTTTACTAGATTTAAATAAATTCTACCAAGCATACATATCCAGCCTTGTTCGTATGTTAGCAAAAAAATCATGTTAGTAATCGAACTACATTGTAGTCTCATAGCCACATATCGATCAAATACCTTTCACTTAATTAAGGGTGTCTTCCTGTGGTTAAAGAATCTGAACTGCAATCGCATTTTTAAGTCTTTTCGAACTGTGGGGAAAAAACAACGTTCACAGTTAAAGGATAATCGTCACAAATTCGTTTTAGTTATTATAAAAAAAAACCTTTAAAATATTTCACAGACGTCAAAATAAATGACCTTTGGAAACATAACAGAGAATTTGAATCTGACATGGTTATACTGTAATTAATGTATACCTCTTTTTATAAAAAATATTGATTTCATACTTACCTTTAATGGTATTTTTAATACATTTTTTTTTGCACGGGTGAAAAAATATGACAAAGTAATACAAAATTCTTCTTTATTATAAATAATAAAATTGGGAATATTTTCCGAAAAAAAACACAACAATTTGTCAAAAAAATATATTTTATACTCCAACAACAACAACTTTAACACACATATACACATACTTTTATTGTCCATAAACGTATTTCGAAATTAGCAATTGTAATAGAATCTTATAAGAAATCGGAACTGTAGTTTTGCGATTAATAGAGAAAATAAAAAAATGTATTTGACTAATCAAACCAATTTATAAGAGTGCAGTGCATTTTTATTGGTTTTAATCAATGAAACCTCAAATATAATTAGCTTCTACGTCCTACTAATCATGTTAATCCAACCCAACCCAACTCGCATACCCTAACCTAACCTAAACAATGTTGCCGGTTGTTGTCCCTTAATTTCGCAGTTCTGCACGCGCATAAACGATAATCGGTCGGGTATTTCGCGTGCAATCTAAACAAAAAGAAACTTACTCCAGAGAATAACCAAAGCAATCAAGACACGCCGCCGCCGTAGGCTAAATATGCAACAGCTTTTACATATTTAGAGTTATATTTAAAAAATAACAACAGCTGTAAAAAATAAAAAAGTTCTATATTTGTGGGACACAAATCCCGAAGCAAAGGCATCAACAACGGATCCACAGCTGCTCTTGCAAAATTGGCAATAGCTAGGTGTTACCTTCCACCGTTCTTAAAACCGTTCATAAAATAAGGCAAACGGCAACATTGTTGGGTATGCGAGTTGACTAGTGAGACGTAGAAGCAATTTCAAATATAACCATATACCAACGTAGAAAATGTTAGTTATATTTCATTATTTTTATAATATCTTTAATTAACTAAACAATTTAATAAAACAAATTTGCACAATTTTGATGAATACTCTATTAAGAATTATTGAGATATAAATATTGTTGTCAACTGGCCGCAGTAAAAACAGATAAGCTTTTTATGTAAGTATTCGGAAGCTTATTTTATGGCATCTACAGGGGACCCAGGCTCCCACAATCTGGACGACTCTGGTTCTAGGCTGCAAATTGGTGGCTTAAGCTCCCGTTTGCTCCTTTTGTTTTTTCGTCATCTTTTTTTTCATCTACTAAGTTGCAGACGGCTCTGCTGTTAAAAATGTCAAGTTGCCACATTTATTTATTTATTTTCTGACATTATCATTCGTTTTGACACTTTAGTTTTGTATTACGAGTTTTTGCTTTGAATGAATTGTGTTGTGATACTTTAAGCTTAAAAAAAATTACTAGCGGACCTTCCAGTCGAACATTGTTCTTTTTAGAACTTCTTTTAGTGCGAAGTGTACAAGATAGCTTAATAGCCGTTGCAAAAAACTCATCAAAACCTTATTAGAATACTTTGAACAGGAAAGCGGTAGTAATGGCCCTTTATGTCCCCTAAGAGCTGTTCAGAAAGAAAATTGATGTACATAATGACTGTTTATATATAATTAATTTATTTTTGTTTCTTAAAATAATTTGATTAAAAGAGAATATGTAAAACTGGGCAACGCTGTGCCGGTCAAGCTTTATCACGTGACTAAAAGTTTATTTGGTATGATCTTTAAATATTTCTTTCTACATAACGAGATACGTTAAGCTTTATATCCTGTATTGATTTGTAAATGACTCCCTTTTTATTTTTTATCTATTTTACTTTCTAAAATATATAACAGTTTTTGTTGGTTTTATTTAAATGGAACCGCTAAAAATTCTAAAATGCTTTAAATATAAAAATATTCATTTTTTAGTTTTCCATCTAAAAGAGAAATAATAACAGGGTGTGCTAAAATGCAATAATATACAGGGTATTTCGTTTTAAAAAAATCATCCCGATCCACTCACACCCTGTAGAAGTTAAAATATTTTCTTAAAATACATCCTAATACATACTTTAAGTTTGCACTTATACAAAATTCCTAAGTTTCTTATTATGTGAGCTACGCAGATTGATGTGCGACGCATTGTTGCCGGATCTGTATAAGGTTGTAGAAAATTATTTGAACCGCGGTAACCCCTATTTACCGCTACTTTTTGACTGACACCCTGTTAAAAAGTGTATTTCAATACTCCTAAATATACATATATAAAAATTAGTTTTTGATTAAAAATATAATGAAAGTAATAATCCTGAAGCCGGAATCTGTAGTATAAATATTAATCTCAATTTTAACAAGAAATTTATACATGTGTATGTAAATATACCTTTGTAACAGAGAGTTACTATTTAAAAAAAATGTCGATGACGTCATATCTTAAATTTGAGACACCGTTCATATTTTTTATAAAAAAAGGCAATTTAAAGTACTTTGATTTACTGAAAATATCAGTTAGAGAATCACCCTGTATCATATCTAAGAAACAATGACAAAATTTTTAAATAGTATTTAGAGGGGCATGGGACGAATATCTGATAACATCGCAAAACTAGAGTACCGTTACATATGGCCGGACTAAAAACAAAAGTAATTATGATAAAATGGCGTGTGAAAAATGATTTCACGTCTGAGACTAGAGGTTTTATTTTTAGTCCGGCACACGCACACTTAAACAGAACCAAGAAACAATTTCGGTTTATTACATTACCTTCTATTCACTCTTTAACATTACCCATTCTAATAATAGTCTTCGTGTTGCGTTTCGGACTGATATGGATTCGTTTGAGAAAATCGATCAATATTCCATTAAAACTTGAACCTAGCAAAGTTGCGTATTTCATTAATTTTTTTGATAAATGAAGAAGCAGACGCTTAAGTGGGCGTTATTTTTTGTTACTTTTTAGGAAATATTTCTTTCCTCTAAACCAAAGTGATTAAGAGGATTTTTGGACTCACTCTTGTTTAGTAGAGTTGTTAGGTAGAGTACTGAAGATTTGTTTTAGTTTCTACAGGGTGTTCCGAACTGTATTCCGGAAACTTATTCGGCAGCATATTCTGCAGATAAAAATAAGTAAAAAAGTTTGTATAAATATATGTCCTAAAATGCTTATTAGTTTCGGAGATACAGGGTGTAGAAGTTTCATATTTATTGCTATTTTTTCCAAATAATTTCTGAAGTCACGTCAATATTTGGATGAAAATTGGTGTCTGGGAGTTTTTTGACACGAGAAATTGATTTTGACGTCAATATGACTCCTACTTGTAGAAGGCGCCACCGACATATTTTTTAACTGGTTTGAAGAGTAGTAATTTTCGTCGGTACCTCTATAAAACGCCTGAGTAAAAAAATATATATTTACGACGTTTTTTACGTAAAAAAAGTATCTTAGTAAAAAACGATACAAGTAATGGTTCTCGAGATATATGGAATCAAAAAATTATCAATATCTTTCAACATTGACATAAATTAAACATGTTCACTAAATAGTTGTTAGATGGAAATCATAAATTTGAAATGTTTTTGTGCCAAAAGTTCAAAAGAAACTGTGTTATCATCATTTTTTGGAAGAAAAATTTATAATTTTTTAAAAAAATAAGAAGTTCCCAAATTTATCATCTAAATCAAATAACTATCTACTCTTAACCTGCTTATTTTTTTGTCAATAATGACGTATTGACTATGTTCATTCTAAATATATTGAGAACGGTTCCTCGTAGTACCAAAAGACATTTTTCGTAAAAATTCACGAAAATGTATGTTTTCACTCAGTAGTCATATACAGGTTCGGACGAAAAGTTATTACTTACTCTTCAAAACGGTTAAAATACATGTATATAGGTGGCGTCCCCTACAAATTAATAAGAGTCATATTGACATCAAAATCAAATTTCTCATGTCAAAAAACTCCCAGACAGTTAATTCAAAAATTATTTGAAAAAAATAATTTTTTAAACAAACTAAAATGCAACACCCTGTACAATCACTATTTAATAAACTATTTAATTGATTGCTTAATTGCTGCTGATTTATTTAGTGTGTCTAACTTTATTATGGGAATATGTTATTTATTTATTTGCCAATCAATCTCAAATGTGTCTAAACTTGCCCTATAGGTACTTTATTTGAAAGTTTCATTAAAAGTACCAAATCACTAGCTAAAAACAGTTGTTGGTGGCACCAAACTTTGACAAAATCTTTATTCAAAAAACTGTTATTAAAACAAGTCGACTTGCAATTTTGACAATTTGATGGAAATCCTCCTTAACGAATAATATTGTGTAGGTATTAACAAACCGAGATTTTGAGACTAAGTTTCAAATAAATTTGATAGAAAGCAACCAAAAGACGGATTGTACGATATCGTTGTCACCTAGTATGTGCACCAAATGGTGCACCCATTCGCCTCGGTGTATTATACGAAAACGGAAAGACGTAGAAACAATTTGTTTTATGAGTATATGTAGAGAGGCAATGTGGCATAATTTAAAATTATTTTTAAATGTACAGGGTGTATCAGAACTAAGATCCATACCAAAGTTATATTTCTTCTTATGGAACACCCGTTATTTTATTTCATTTTTGAATTCTTGGGCATAAAATAAGGCATTTAGTATAAGGGTTTAATATGTTTAAATGCTTTGGTTTTTGAGATACTTAAATATGCATGCTATAATAAAAAAGTTTGTCAACACCCTGTATGTTATTTTTCAGAATTAATTCTTGTGTTGACTTTGAAGCCAGAGAATTAAACTTTACTAAAAAAAATTATTGCTTCCATAAATATATACAGGGGTATCAAAAATTGCTGGTCTATTTTAAATATTTATTTTACAAAAAAACTTCGTAATTTCA